CGCGGGCGGTGCGGGGCCCCCTGCTGGTTGGGCCTCGCCCCCTTCTCCTGAGGGGGCGGAGGCGGCGGCGGCGGCGCGGCGTGGCCCCCCGCCGCGAGGAAGCCCCTGCCTCTCCGGCTCCGTCCCCGAAAGCGGGCAGGCTTTGGGGGGTCCTGGCTGCCGGGGCCGTCGGAGGGGCTGCCTTCCCTGGCCCCCGGGGCCGAGCGGCCCCTGCCCCGCGGTCGTGTGGGCTGAGTCGGCCCGCGCCGACAACTACAGGGTGGTCCACCTTCATTTGGGTGTCAGTGGGCGGCGGCGGCGGCAAGCCGTGGCCGCGGCGGTCCCCGCTGCCCTGGCCCGCCAACGCGCGGCCCTCTCCCCACCCCCTGCCGAGCGTGCTGGGCTGGGCTGGAACGCGGCGAGGCGGGCGCGGGTCCCCTCGGGGCCGGCCGGCCGGAGCGCCGCCGGCCGGCCGGCGAGCGTGGCGGGCGGGGCAAGAGGCGGTGCAGCGGGGTTGGCGGTTGGGGGCCCGTTGCTCCCCGCCCTCCACCCGCGAGAAAGTGAGGCGCTTACCGGGCGTGGGGTGGTGGGGCGTGGTCCTCTCCCTGGCGTGGCGCAGGAGGGCCCCTGTTTGCGGTCGTGTTGGCTGAGGGACCGCGCCCACAACAGTAGGGGGACACCCATGGCCGCATCTCTTCCTCCTCACCGTTGCGGCGCTCTCCCTGCTCCTTTCCCCTTCTGTCCCTTGCTGCTCTGCTCTTTTCTCCCTGTTCTTACGTCCGGGGGTGTGTGGTGTCTTTTGGGGGTTTGGGCGCGTCCGTGTCTCTTGGTAAGCTCGGGCGTCGGTCCCTGAATTTCCCCCCCCCCCCCCGAACCTGGCACAGCAAAGGTCGCGGGCTCGCGCCACGATGCCGACCGGGGGCCGCCGGGGTAACCAGTCCCCGTGCCACCCCCGCCAGTGTCGGCTGTGGTCCTGCCCTTCACACAGGCGACCGCCCCTCTCTTGACGTTCGGAATGGTTTCCAAGTGCCGCCCCCCTTTTGCGGCCTTCCCCTCGCGACGGCTGAGCCCCCTGCGGTTCTTCTCCCCTCGGCCGGGCCCCTGGCGGTGCGCCGACAACTATAGGGGGCCACCTTCGGCTGCGGGCGGCGGGTGGCGAGCCCCGCGTCGAGCTCGCCGTCGGGACCGGGCGGGAGCTTTGCGCGGGCGGTGCGGTGGCCCCCTGCTGGTTGGGCCTCGCCCCCTGCGCCCTCTCGAGCCGGAGGCGGAGGCGGCGGGCGTGGCCCCCGCCGCTGCGAGGAAGCCCCTGCCTCTCCGGCTGCCGTCCCCGAAAGCGGGGCAGGCTTTGGGGGTCCTGGCTGCCGGAGCCGTCGGAGGGGCTGCCTTCCCTGGCCCCCGGGGCCGAGCGGCCCCTGCCCGCGGTCGTGTGGGCTGAGGGCCCGTGCCGACAACTATAGGGGGGACCACTTCGGCGGCTGCAGGCGGGGGCGGCGAGCTCGCCGTCGGGGCCGGTCGGGGGCCTTGCGCGGGCGGTGCGGGGGCCGCCTGCTGGTTGGGCCTCGCCCCCGAGCGGGCGGCTTGGGCTCTCCTGCCCCCTGCGCTCTCTCGGGCCGAGGCGGAGCCGGCGGCGGCGCGGGCGTGGCCCCCGCCGCCGCGAGGAAGCCCCTGCCTCTCCGGCTCCCGTCCCCGAAAGCGGGGCAGGCTTTGGGGGTCCTGGCTGCCGGGCCGTCGGAGGGGCTGCCTTCCCTGGCCCCCGGGCCGAGCGGCCGAGTGGCCGCGGCGGTCCCCGCTGCCCTGGCCCCAACGCGGCCCTCTCCCCACCCCTGCCGAGCGTGCTGGGCTGGGCTGGAACGCGGCGAGGCGGGCGCGGGTCCCCCTCGGGGCCGGAGCCGGCCGGAGAGCGAGCGTGGCGGGGGGGCAAGAGGCGGTGCAGCGGGGTTGGCGGTTGGGGGCCCGTTGCTCCCCGCCCTCCACCCGCGAGAAAGTGAGGCGCTTACCGGGGCGTGGTTGGTGGGGCGTGCGGAGGGCGTCCTCTCCCTGGCGTGGCGCAGGAGGGGCCCTGTTTGCGGTCGTGTTGGCTGAGGGACCGCGTATAGGGGGACACCCATGGCCGCATCTCTTCCCTCCCTCACCGTTGCGGCGCTCTCCCTGCTCCTTTCCCCTTCTGTCCCTTGCTGCTCTGCTCTTTTCTCCCTGTTCTTACGTCCGGGGGTGTGTGGTGTCTTTTGGGGGTTTGGGCGCCGTCCTGTGCTCTTGGTAAGCTCGGGTCGGTCCCTTCCTCGAATTTCCCTCCCCCCGAACCTGGCACAGCAAAGGTCGCGGGCTCGCGCCACGATGCCGACCGGGGGCCGCCGGGGTAACCAGTCCCCGTGCCACCCCCGCCAGTGTCGGCTGTGGTCCTGCCCTTCACACAGGCGACCGCCCCTCTCTTGACGTTCGGAATGGTTTCCGAGTGCCGCCCCCCTTTTGCGGCCTTCCCCTCGCGACGGCTGAGCCCCCTGCGGTTCTTCTCCCTCGGCCACGTTTCGCCGGTAGCGCGGAGTTAGATCCCGGGTGTGCACACCCTTGCGGCGAGAAAGGAAGAAACCCCCGGCAATCCCACGCCCCTCCTCCTGCGGAGCCCACGGGTGAGGCAGGTTGAAAAGGAGACTGGGCCAGCGAGAGTACCTCCCCTCCCCCTTGCCACGGGCTTGGCTCGCTCGCCTCCTGCCGGCTCCCGTTTGTGCTTGCTTGCTTGCTTGCTTGCCTCCGGAGCCGAGCCTTGCAGCGCGAGTTGCGGCCAGGGCCCCATTGCGTGTGGTGTTCTTTGGGGGGGTTGGAGTCGTATGTAGTTTTGTCTGCGGCCCGTTGCTGCGACGGAGAGGAGGAGGAGGAGAAGGCGGAGAGGCGGTGAGCAAAGGCGTGGTGGCCTTTAGCTTGCACAGCTCAAGGGTGCGGAGCGGGATTGCCGGAAGCAGGCGTGTGTGTGGGTGAGCAGCCTTGACAGCTGTGAGCCTGTGCCCCACTGCCTTGGCAGCCCCTGTCCCGGCCGGCCGGCTGGCCTGCCTGCGCCGCGCCCCTCTCCCCCCCTCTGTCCTCCTCGTCGCTGCACGACCACGATGGCGATAGAGAGAAAAAGGCTCGCGCCGGGAGGAGCTCGCCGCGGCCGTTGTTCTGGTCGGCGACGCTGTCGTCTCCCTCCCCTGTGTGCGGCGCACCCTGAGTCGAGAGAGAAACGACCCCCAACAACCAGCCATCGAAAAAAGTGCGGCCCCCCCCTTTATTTGAAATGCCCTCCTCCTTCGTCCCCATTCCTTCCTGGTGTGGCTTCTGGCCGCAGCAGCGGGAGAGCGGGGCGAGAGTCGTCGGGCTTTTCCGGGGGGTTTTGCCATGTGAAAAGCCAAAGTAACAATAACCGGAGAGGTCGAGAGAGAAGTGAGAGGAAGAAGGCAGGCAGGAAGGAAAGACCGCAGCGGAAGAGCGGCGGCGGCGGCAGTGCCCCCGTAAGGGGGCAGCGCAGCCCATTGTGGCTGCTGCTGCCGCCCCCCGCTCGAGAAAGCTGCTATCGTCTCCCTCCTCCTCCTCCTTCTTCTTCCTCCATGTCCTCCTCCTCCTCCTAATGTTCATATGACGACGACGACGACCACGCTAGTGTGCGTTGTTGCTTCTACCTGCTTGATCCTGCCAGTAGTCATATGCTTGTCTCAAAGATTAAGCCATGCATGTGTAAGTACAGGCCGACTTAAGGCCAAACCGCGGACGGCTCATTAAATCAGATAGAACTCATTGGATCTCTGCTCAACCGCAATACTTGGATAACTGTGGAATTTTCAGAGGGATATTTGTCATTATCTTAACATCTTTGTGAAAAATAGTTCAAATAAATATCATAATTATTTTGGCTTCAAAGAATGATTTTGAAAAGTTGCTTAAAACCACATTCATTTTGATATTTCATTGGATCACTTTCTATGTCATCAAATCTTCACTGAAGAGTTTACATTTTTTTTTCCCTACAAGATATTTCTACTAGAGGTAAGGCCAACAATATGACTGGATTTGCAGTAATAAAATCTGGTTCTCAATCAAAGATGACAAGTGCATGGACATGAACGTACACATATAATAGTTATCAAAGAGAGCGCATTTAAACGGTAAACGAAAAATGAAATTTCTACTATATATATATACATATACGACAAAATCAAAAATCCATCGTAACTATTATTATTTTTTTTGCCAATTCCACGTTTCATAATTGATAATGGTTGATGATAAGTCAGAGAATTAGATCAAATGCATCATTTGAAACTCAGTAATAATAGATTTTCATCCAGCCACATTTTCTTCTCTAGTAAGTGACTATCGCATTTTTTTCTAATTTGTATCATATGGCACGGATCAAATCAATGTGATCTTGTATTTTAGAAGAAAATAAACTAATGCTTACTGATTCACTATTTCATCCTTTTTTCTTATGTGTATACGAACCATATTCTCTTTTGATCCGTACCTGACTCAAAAATTATGAAATAGTGAATCAGTAAGCATTAGTTCATTTTCTTCCGTCTAAAATACCCACATTGACTTGATCCGTAGCATAAAATACAAATCAAGAAGGAAAAATCCGACAGCCACTTGTTTTCAAAGATACTATAGGGAAGGAAATGAGACTGAATGAAAAATACATTGTTATTGAGTCTCGAAAGACGTATTTGACCTAATATGGGAGATCGCCAACTTCGGGGCAACTTCGGCAGGATTGAACTCGCCTCCGGTTGCCCATTCCGAGCGATCTCCTTGCTTGTTGCCTTTGACGATGACGAAGCGAAAAGTGGGACGCAGAGAGTAACGTCAGCCGAAAATGCGTTAAATATTATTCATTTGTGCAGAGAGGATTTACCAAGTGTAATTTGCGCGGAAATGGTGGGACTCGACATCTCATTAGATATCGAGTGAAATATGGATAACATCCGGGTATGACGTACGCAAAGTTGGTTTAAAGTGTAGGAAAGTTGAATTTCGATTGATTAATTAAACGATTAATGTATGGCTCTTATGACGGCCTTTGGGATGGTGACACTGTCAGCGTCATACGAATGCTTTTAGGATGAATCTGGGAGTAGGATCGAGTCTGACAACATCAAATTATTCTTATCAAAGGCAATTAGTCCAGTGACTCTACTTGTTCATAAATTTTCGTAAATACATTTATCCTCTTAATGAAGTTTACACCCTCGTGACTTGTCATTATACACTGTTGAAGGTGAAAGGAGAAATCAGATTGAAAACACAAACCAAATCTTCAGAAAAGTTTTATTTGTCATGCTGCAAACGGAAGTCGCTGCTGAATCAACCTGGTAATAGATCGAAAATAGTTTAGGTATTCTTTAAATAATCGTTTTATTAGAGTGTGATTGTATGCAGACTAATAAAAGGGGATATTTGTTGACAGTAAATATTATAGACAAGAAACTGTCAATGAATTAATTTTTAAAATATTTATATGAACAGTATATGAAAAAGTACTTTCTTACCATGATGACCGTGATGCCCTCCATGATGGCCTCCGTGGTGACCCCCGTGGTGACCCCCGTGGTGACCTCCGTGGTGACCCCCGTGGTGACCCCCGTGGTGACCTCCGCCGAAGCAGCAAGGCAAGGTCTTGGCGGCGGCGAAGGCAAAGGCGAGAGCCAGCAGGAGAAGCAGGGCGAGGAACCGCATCTGCAGCAGACGCGGAAGCAGTCAGGGCGGGGCGATGAGGCCGAGGGACGTGTGGCGAGCCGAGCGGCCGTTCGGACCTCGGCCGTTCGGGAGGGGGGGGGGGGGGGCGGCGCCGTTGGGCGAGTGTAGTGAACTGCGATTGCAATTATATCTCGCCTTAGAGTGTAAAAGTAGCGTGACTGCCACCACCCATTTAATTGCCGTATGGGAACGGATGTTGTTTGTGGGAAGAGGGATAGTGTAGAAGGCGATGCAGGAAAGGAGCGATAGTTTGTGTGGATGTGTGTGGTGCGTGTGTGAGGTGTATATGGTTGTGGCGAGAATATAAAGGTCGGTATGCGTGAATCTAAGCCGAGGAGAGGCGTGTGCGGGGAGAAATCTCCAACGCATTTAATAAAGTAATCAACTGTCATTAATTATGATTTCCACTGATACTCTTTTCCCATCACAGGTTTAGGGGGAAACTCATCATGCGTAAAATTATTTATTAAAATGATAAAAGACTTTTAAGACAATAAAACGACATTAAAACTGAACAATAAAACGGCAAAAATGAACAATAAAACGGCAATAAAACTGAACAATAAAACGACAATAAAACAATAAACTGAACAATAAAACACTGAACAAAAGATAAAACACTGAACAAAAGATAAAACACTGAACAAAGATAAAACACTGAATAGAACAAAAGATAAAATGAATAGAACACACTGAATAATAAAATCAACACATTGAACGGTAAAATAATTTAAAAGAGAGCACTGGTAAAATCACATAAAATAAATAAAACCATAAATGGACTGGCACCGAGATCATTAGGTCACTTCGCCGAACAAATAACTTAGCAAACTTCTCTCACCTCCTATAGTCAGGTACGTCCACAACCACTTATCTTTAGGAAAAAGGGGAATGGTCGTTCCGGGGTTTCCCTCACTAGCAGTCAGTCACGACCAACCCTCGAATCCCCTGAGTTTGTCTGTTTGACCTCCCACGTCAGTTCCTACGCGGGAGTAAGCTAAAATCAGGGTTTTCCTCTGATACTAAATTAATAAAATTCATGTTAAAATCCAATAAAACTATAAAAAGAAAATACTTCAATAATAGACATTGATAAAAATATAATCAACTAATGAAATCGAAATAAAAACTTTACGTTAAAAGAACCATCGTATCAGTTATGGCCATATATGTAAAATCTGATGAATTAAAAGTAGAAAATAAAAGTAATTAAAAGCAACCCATTAA